AGGCACAGTTTGAGGAGTTGGCACACTTGTTCTGTGGAAAGTGTGGTTCTGCTGCTGAGAGTGGTGTCTGATTTCAGAAATCTTGGTCTGTGCAAGATTGAAATCAGACACCACTCTCAGCAGCAGAACCACAGAGGATTAATAATAATTTGATTAATATTATTATTAATAGTTTTAATGATTTCTACATCGTCAGTCCTTTTTTTCTGCTCTGTTGTCAACATGTACAGCAATGGGAAATCCAGACTCTTGACTGTTTAGCGTTAGCCGTCCTTCACCAGCCGGTCACACGGTCGCATGGTTTTTGCGCACTCCAGCTGTTCTATATAACCTCCTTGATCATGTGACACTGCAGAAACTTTTCCAAACAATGCCAGAGAACGTGTGCTGTAATCAAAGCTAAAAACAGTCCAACCAAATATTAGTATGTCAATTTTTTTTTCATGGCGACTTTGTTTTTGGCCAGGCAGTGTATGTCATTTAAAAGAAGTGACTTCGTATACATTCACTTTCTTTTCAGGCCCTAAAAATCCACAGGATTTCTGTAAAAACAATCATTATAAAATGTAGGGAATGTGTGTAAAACAGCAGTCTGTCCTTACAAATCGATTGACAGTGAAAGAAGGAGAATAGTGTGAGAAACCACCACCTGGGATCACTGAAGAAGTTATAAGCTTCAGCGGGTAAGATGAGAGACTGAGCTACAACTGTTGCTCAAGTTCCTCACCAGTCTAAGCTTTATGGGAGAGTGGCAAAGAGAAACTCATTAAATCTCAACTAAGTTTGACTGCTGAGACATTCTTGACTACAGAGTCTTTGGCAAACTCTAATCAAGATTTAATTTGAGTATTCGTCAACGAAAGAACAGTGAGATCGATAGATAACTTGAGGACCAGTCACGGTCCAAAGAATCCATTTGGGTGCGACTTGCTGAAACAATAAGCATTAAGTGTTACATTACAGTTGTTGAAAACTCAGCTGTACAGAGCACCCATCAAACCACTTATGTTTCATGTTCAAAACACGTTCTGAAATCAAAGGAATTGCAACGGAGTGCTGTGTGATGATATAAACAGAAATAAGGAGGTCAGGACCACGAGTGTTTGTGTATCCACTTTTATGTGTCCAAGAGAAGACTAGGGGGAGCGTGTAACCTAACACGTAGCAGATTACTCGGAGTCTTTAATATACACAAACACAGACTCAAAGACAGAGACAGATACAAACACTTCTAGGTTACTTCACAGGCAGTTCCAGCAGAGACCACCTCTGACTCCAGCAACAACAGACCACCACCCTTTAGAGGAATGGAGAGACTTTTCTGACTGCTTAGATCAGTGCCAGCAGAACTCATGTGATACGCGGGTGTTTTCTGACCAAATACCTAGAAAGACTACGCCTAACTTTGTGAGCATTTTAAGGTGGTAAAGTGCAAAGTACAGCGATTCTGAAGACTTCCTCCAACTCACTCAGTTATTTCACACACAGATGAGAAATGGCAGGGTCACACACACAAGCCAAAGTTTAAATAATCTATCTGACACAAACATACAACTAAGAAATCAAAAGAAAAGCTGGATCCAAAACAAATCTATTACAACTATTCAACAAGTGGAATCATTAGAACAGGTTCGGATCCACTCAGTCTCACGCAGCAGTCATGAGTGAGACCAGAAATCACTTGACACTTGTTAAATCTACAAGACAAACCTTGTAAAGATGTGAAAAAGATGGCTACTTCTCCAGTGACTCAGAGCTAATTAAAATTTCTGCTTCTGTAGCAGCTTTTAGAATCAAACAGAACCAGAGAAACGGAAAACAAAAATAAAAAAACAATATAAAGTTATAACAGAGTTAAAGAATGAAGAAGCTTAAGACAGGATTTCTGACTGTATTACGATGATCCTTTTGAAACTAGACGTCTGAACTGATGATTCAAACTGTAATCTTTATCTAAATCCTAATTATACACAAACACAATCAGAATAAACAAACTACAAAAACAACATATTTAACTGTTTAACTCACAGATCCAGCCGGACCAAAATAAACAAAGTCTTAAATAAATTTAAAAAAACATCAAACTTCTATTTGCAATAGAAACAATAATATATATCATGATAGACATGTGATCAACATCAGTAGAAAATATGTCACATGGAGTGTTGATAGTTTCAATGAACACCAATCCTGAACTGCAAGGCATTCTGGGGGATGTAGGCAGAGGAAAGGCTTTAGCTGTTCGACCTCTCATGGCCCAGCTAAGCAAGGTTGATGGCATCGACTAACTCACGCTTTGCTAGCAACAACCTTTAGAACTGGGGTGGTACCAAAAGTACAACTCAGCACAATTCATGCATCATCCCATGAGTTGCTATTCTAAAAAAACAGCTGTACAGAAGCTGACACATCTCTTGATTAACTCTAACTATATGTTTACCTTAGTTAAATTTTTGCATTCATTAATCAGACTTTTAGGAGGCTGTGTTTTTAATCAGAGACAAGCGTGCTGCTGCTCCCATATCCCAACTGCCTGAGCCAATTCATGCAGCTCTATTGCTCTTTCATGCATCCAAATCTGTGTTTTTATCTCCACATTCACCAGATTGTCTTCATAAATTTAACACTTTAGCTTCTGTCCTCAACCCCTCGCTTCTCTCTTCATTTTACCCGCTAATATTTTCTCAGCTCCTACACTTCTCCCACCCCTTTCCTTTCGCTGTGCTCTCTTTTCTTTTCATTAATGCATTGCCCCCCTCCTCCCATCTCCCCCTTCTCAGCCACAGAATGCAAAGAATCCACACAACCAAGCCAGAGACGCATCAGCTGTATCCCATTCAGCTTCAGAATAGGAAACAATCTCAGGTCATCCCCAGCAACTTCTTTAAACTGTGGTTTAGTCATTAGCCTCTTCATCTGAACAAACAACCCTGTTTGCTTCTGATATAAAGATTAATAAACTTTCTTTTGTAACATCAATTAAAAACGACACAAAGAAATTCCCATAAGAGAAAAAAAATGGTATGCCTTTGAGAAAACAAGGTAACGAGGCAACAGGGGACAGAACATAAAATAAAAAGATGGAAAGAAAAAGAAAGGTAACAAATGATATTTCTGACACAATAAACTGGGGGGAATATAAAAAATAAAAATCCAAAAACGGGTCAAAACAGAAAGAGAGGAAGAAAAACAACTCTTGAGCAACAAATGTGGAAGAAAACTGAAAGAACAGGAAAATCAAAAACATGAAAGGAAAGCAGCATTTCGCTCTTCTGTCTTTTACTCCTATACTTGCAAGAACTGAGGCCCATTGTTTCTGAGAGCAGATTTGTGTCCTATCTGAGGAATCCAAACATCAACTATGTGGGTCAACACGCTGCTGACAACACAGGAAGGAAAAAGGAATGAAGGAAAAGGACAATGTGATGGGACAGAAGGAAATACAGCTAGAAAGTAACCCAGACACTGAGAATAAAGCAGGAACGAGGGAACATAGGAAGCCTGGAAGTTTCATTTGGATGTAGGGGAAAGAAAGCAGTAAACATACTTTCTATAGTTGTTTTGTTGTTAAACACACCTATTCAGAGAGAAGCCTGGGCCATTACAACAGAGTATTACACACAGAGAGTGAGCGACAGCTAAAGTATGTGTAAATAATTAAACTTTGCATGAGGACAGGAAGATAAATTCTGACAGCAAAAATATGTTTTTAAATTCTTGACACAAAGACAGAATGAAGTAATGCTGGGCTCCAGATAAACAGGAGTGAACTTGGAAAAAATAGGCCCTGAAGTGAATTTGGCCTCGAATATTTCAGTCCCTGTGGCTGCAGATCTGTTCAGAGGGGTCAGGAAAAAGAGTAGCAACCAAAACACAGAGTGAACAAACCTAAAAATATGGAATAGAAGGGACTAAAAAAAAAACTATTTCATTATTCAAAAAACTGTTTCTAAAATGAGAGGGTATAGTTTTATGGTAAGCAAACAAACTGCACTATTAAGATGAGGAGGGGGTAAAGGATTTAGTAGCCGAGGTTGTTTTCCTTCCCTTGCTTTTCTTGTTGTTGTTATCCTTAGAAGGCGACCACATGACCTATTATGTTCATATGTTTTAAAAAGGTAAATAAAAACTTTGACACTTGTAATGGAAATTTTCAATTCTTTAGATTCTTTTGAAAAGTTCCTTACCTACAGCTGAAATATACTGTCACATAAGCACAACACTTGGTTGTGTGTGTGGATGATTTAGCACATTTACACCCAATGGAACAGTTTAAAACATGGCTGACCTTTGATGTTTCAGATCATTTCGACACGACCCTTACCATCACAGGTGAAAGTCACAGGCTGCTGAGATTCAGAGATTTCGATCGAAACTTTGACAGAGTGGCTGTTGTCCCCTCCGCCGTCCCTCTGGGCGATGACGGGGCTGAAGACGAAGCCGGGGTTGATCGTAATGTCATCATGAGGAAATCTGGAGCACAGACTGCAGGAGGGAATAGAAAGAGGAAACAAAATAAAAAAATAAAGTCAAAACG